TTTTTTTTGGTTTTTCTCCGGTACCGGGAACCGAACTCACGACCTTGCGTATGCCAGGCAGGCGCTTTTGCCGCTGAGCTAAATCCCCAGCCCCTATTGTGGGGTATCTTACACTGCATCCTGCTCATGGCCACTCTTAAGTCCATAAACATTTATTGAGCCCTTACGCCATGTCCAGCCGTGATGGGAGCACTGGACGGGAAACAGATGAAGTGGGGGTCAGGGGAGGTGAAGATCATCTGCCACGTTTTGATGTAAGCCTACAGTTGTACATACATTTTCGATCTTCATGAAAAGGCTCATTTATTAGAGACTGATATGATAGGGGGTATATAATACAATGTGGTGGAGTGGGGAAAGTTCTCCATGAATGAAAAGCTATTTCTGTAGGCAGTGGGTATACCAAAGCCATGCAAGAGATTCAACAAGTAAAATGAGATGAGTGCAAAAAAGGGAGCATTTCCACTCAAAATGGTCACTTCCTGAACCAGGTGGCATTCTCACTGAGCACCAGAAACTCCAGTTAATCATTTCTATAAGTGTTTGTTTTGCCTTTCCTTTAAACTAGCTTCCTCTCTCTCCCTTATACACCCTCGCAGAGAGGCTCTTTGTCAACCCTCTGTGGTCAGCTTTGACCTGCAAGCCAAAATGCTTATTGGTCATTTAAACCTGCATCTATCTTGTTTCTAAAGAAGTCAGATTTAATGAGAGCCAATGAATTCTGAGAATCAGGACAGGATGAACCTCTGCTAGCTCCTAGGCTGGTAATCAGAACACTGGGCTGCACACCGTGGGAGACCTGTCCTGCTTGACTGTGCCCTTAAATCAATCTGGACTAATTTCGCCCCCAAGCAGGCTTTGCACATATCCTTTTCAGGAATTTAATTTCAGCTGTGATGTTGACTGCTATTGACCATTACTTTGGCTCTAATAAGACCATTTGGGACAAATTGGATCGATAATGCAGTTAAGTATGGTGCACCTGCTCATGTCATTGCTTCTTCCTAGGTTCCTCTAAACCAACTGGAGGTAAAGGGGGTGGGCGGGAAAGTGATTTCATTCTATGAGAATATTTATAAAATATGAGGAGATTCAGTGAGTGAAATAGGTCTCCTCTTTGCTCTGAGCTAGTTTCTTTTGTCCAGTAATTTAATATCCTGCTGCTTCTGTGCACAATTGGACTTGGTGGGTGTCTATTATGTGCAAAATATTGAACCCACTGTACTGAAGAAATGAAGATGTGTAAGGCCTCTGCCAAATGCCTAGGTATGAAATAATACATATAGGAAAAATTCTCAGGATAAAGCAATACAGAAGAACCAAAAGGAGTTACTGCCCTGTAGAAAATGTCTCCCTTTTTGGTTAGCAAGAAAACAAACCATGAAATATAGGAACACACTTGTAACCCCATAGGTATGCAATTTCTCCTCAGCACATCCCTTCATACCAGCCAGAAGAAAAGTAGAAGAGGGGAAGTTGTTACTTGTTATAAATAAATTCATAACATTTATATTTTGTTTGGAAAAGCAGAAATCACATAAGGTTACTTCACCACATTTGTTGCCCTTAGTTTTGTTGAGTTTAGCTTTCAAAGGATAAACACATAAAATTTTATGAAAAATCATTTAATCAGGACATACAATCTGCACATGTTCTACAATGAGGAACAGAGGAGTTGGGGAATTATCACACTCCTTAAGCCAAAACACCTACCTACTGCTGCTACGGACTCCTTATGTACATAAAATGAGGCTGAACCTGAACCTGAGGCAGCAAACTGAAGAGTAGGACGAGCAATCATCTTCAGTTGTTAAGTTGAATAGCTCAGACCCGAAGATGTTTCATAATGTATGGAAGCAAGAATTTTCCTGGATACCTGGATGGTTGATAAATGATTTAAGAGTTACAAAAATTCCGTCTTGGGAAAAATGCCTTCATTCATCTTCATAGTCTAATAAATGCTTTGTACACGAAGAACTCAGGCCACAACACAAGAAGGGTTCAGGCAAGGCCAACAGGGAGGGTGAAGTTGGCCATTGGTGAGGCAGCGCCAGCTCCTTTAGAACATTTGCGGTGAGAGAAGAATGGGTGGTTAAAATGAAAAATGGATTCTTGCACTTAAAAATGTTAAAATAAAAGCAGCCTAACAGGAAACTTTTGACTATTACTTTCTTTTGAGTTAGCACCTCAAACATTTATGCACAACATTCTGATTCAGGATATATTAACCGATTTCCTTCTAAATCTTTCAAAAATATTATCCTGTCCTAATTGACCAAGAAAGAAAGAAAGAAAAAAAAAAAATATATATATATATATATATATTTAAAAGTAACATTGCTATGATCGCATTTCCAGCATGAGGCAAAGTTACATATACCATCTTCCAATACCTCCAATGAGACGGTCTTGGGATACAGATGTGGAACCAAATACCCTTCACTGATTAAATCAGGTGGTTAATGTGGATCCTTAGAGTGAGTCAAATTGATTTCATTAAGTTATATTTGGAATAAAGACCACAGCTGAAGCCATTGTCATGGGATATACAAGAATCTCAAGACATGATACAATGACAAGCAGAAACACTGAAACAACACCCAGGATTTGGAGGCAGTGTTATTTACATAGACAAGCACTGATTAGGATCATTCCTAGAATATCAGGCCCTGATCTCTGGTGGTCTAGGGCTTATATGGGATAAGCAAGCTGGAAGTACAGAGGCAGAACGGCTTGTCATTTGGGGATTGGTTTATACGGTGTGCATCACAGTGACCAGCCTTTTTAAGAGATAGAAGTAACCCGAGCTGAAACAGGAACCATTACCTGGGCAACTAAGAAACTGAAGTATACTGGCTGGAGAGGGTAGGCATTTTTCTTTTACAATAGCTTCATGGCAAATAGAGCCTACTTCTAAAAAGAAGCAGATCTAGCTGAATTACTGCAAAATGAAGGAAAATATACAGTACTATGTAGCAATATGAAAGCAAACCAGCTAAAGAGACCTAATTATTAGAAAATAAGTCAAGCATCCTTGCCCTGAAAGTGCGTGATCCGTTGTGTCATTTCTGTGTAAGAACAGGTCAAGTCATCGTCATGTACGTGGTAAACTCCTTGCTTCTGTCATCATCTTTTTCTGTCCTTATTCTTGCTTTAGGCCCTCGCTGGACGAGGCCCTGCAGTGGCGGGATTCCTTGGACAAGCTCCTGCAGAACAACTGTAAGTTCATATTGTTTGATCTGAGGGTCAGAATAGGGAGAGAGACACAAAACACCTTTGGGTTGCCAGTGTCCTTCTTCCCAATTTTGACCTTTCTTCAGTTTTTTTTGAAAGTGGTTGTAACAAGAGAGGGGTCCCAAAGTGGTTATGGAGCTGGCTACAAGAGTAAGGTGCTGTGGAAGAAGGTGAGCCTAGGGTGTGCTGAAGGTGCACACTGCAAGTTTGGTTCCCACCAGTCCCGTGCAGTTCTGGGAGGCAGAGCAAGTGGCTTGGCCTGTATGCTCCTCCCCACCATTTCTTCTTCTTCTACTTTTAAGAGGCAGGGTATAGCCATTTTGCCCAGGCTAGCCTCGAGCTCCTTGGGCTCGACGAGTTCTTCTGACTCAACCTATCAAGTAGCCAAGACTATAGACATGTGTCAGCAATAAACTAGAGAAAGTACTTTTCCCTGCTTAGTCTCCTAATGGATTAATAAGGGTTGGATATAGCAGTTTAAAGATCTCTGGGACAGTAAGGGGCAGTCATTGTTCAAACTATAAACTGCTCTTGTGACTTGACAAAGGGTGATAGTGTCCCTTTGCCTCAGTGTCCCCTTCTGACAGCATGTCTGTTACATCTTCATTCCAGACATGACAAAGGTGCTGACCACTATAGAAATTCTTTCAAGCGAAACACAATAAAATCAATACCATAATGAATACTATTTACCTTCTCCTGATCAAAAATCCTTACTCATTTCCAAGGTCTAGTGAATTTGTGGTGAACCTATGGCACGAGTGTTATTGTATTTTTGTTTTTTTGTTTTTTGGGTTTTTTGTCTTTTTGAGACAGGATCTCGCTATGCAGTTCAGGCTGGCCTTGAGCTCACTTTGTAGCCCAGGCTGGCCTTGAACCTGCAACGATCCTTCTACCTCAGCCTCCTGAGTTTGTATTTTTGTTTTAAAACAAAGATGTTAATGCATAAGTTGTTTTCTCTAAACTAAAACCTTAGCATTCAGGTTTAATTGCATTATTGGCACTTAGCAATAAATAAGTGGGTTTTGGGTAGCAGTTTGGCACTAAGTCTCTAAAAGGTTCGCTATTACTGGCTTAGGGTATCAAGTTCAAATTTTAATGTTCATTATTCACCATGACAACTGTATGGCTGACCTTTAGGCAGATTAAACTGTTGTCTGTTTCCATAGGATTTCTTCTTGTACTCTGTTTGGCTGGAATACCTTGTCTACCTATTGAAATTCTCCCTGTCTTGTAATAGCAAACCTAAATACTAAAAGCCTGGCTTTCTTTGAACATCCGAAACAAATTATCCACTCTCTAAACTTCCACAGCCCGTTGTTTTGTTTTGCTTTGTATTAACGTAGCAAAGTTTTATTAAAGGTAGGGAAAGAAACAGGCCTGCAGAATGAGGTTGGGCCAAGAAAAAGTAGAGAAGAAGTACACCATCCGGAGAGAGGGTGGGCCGTCCACGCAAGGGAGAACACAGTAGCCCATTTGTTACCACATCCTTTATGCCACTTAATGCCTGTTTTGTATTCTGTTTGTAGCTCTCTTCCTTCTATGATAGATTACTAACTTATTGGCAGCCGGGATTTATCCTTTTTCATCCAGATAGTTTCACAGCAGGAAGTGCATAGAATGAGGAAAGAAACATTTGTTGACTAATTCACTGTAAAAGAATGATTCAACTGGAAATCGCAGCCCATATTTCTTCCTAGTAACCACAACAATGGAACGTGAAATTTAACAAAAAATAAGGATTTTAAAAGTGTTTCTTATCAGGTCATCATGATTAATGGGTAAAGAGTAACTAACAGAGAATGTATGTTGAAGGGTGTAAGAACACGGTTGTCTTGTTTCTGAGGAAGTGTCTCCTTTGTGAGCAGTAGAGTCCATCTCTTACCAAAACCTCTAACCTGGAGGTTTTCCATTCGTATTCATTTCCGATTCTCTTTTTATTTCTTTTGCTCAACAGAGTACTGTTCTGTGACACATATAAGTTATTCAATAAATATACAAATTAATGAACTATTTTTGCTTTTTAACACCTAGACATTCCATAAAATTGGTTAGAAGAACACTATGTTTATCAACTGATCTGTTGTCTTGCCCCAGTATAGGGGCTCATAGCAGTTTGACAGATGACATGTTGATCAATTATCCAGGATAAGTACCTGGGTGGAGGTATTTGTTACTATTACAAAAAATGTGAGTTACCAGAGCTCCTTTCATATATGCAAAATGGTTAAGGAGGAGAGTAAATACTGTGTGCCCATACGTAGTCTTTTTGGTCACACAATTCTTAGGGCCACATGCTCTGTTTTTCAGGCTTTAAGGGGTCAGAGAGCTGTTGGATAAGAAAGCTAGGGGTGGAGGTGAGCCAGAGGCACTTAATGTCAACACTGTAGTATTTGCATAGGGACCAAAATCTTTTAGCTTGCAAACAGATGGTGTGAGCTTGAAGCCCAAGATTCTCATAGCAATATTTTCTACTTCTCAGAGAGAAAAAAATAGTGTGTATATATATATATATATATTTGTGTGTGTATTTATATATCTGTACACACCTGTAATATTCATGTCATCTAATTGTGTATAACTATTTTAATTTATATGTGTGTTTACAGTTATGTCTATAATCCTAAATCTGAGATAATAATCTTCTTAAGTCATTTATATTTCTGATGCTTTATCACTTAATTTCCCCAAAGCAATAAATGGATAATTATTCTATAAATATTCCAGTCAACTCTTTCCTTGAAAAGTATACCTGTGCACTCAAATCAGCTTGAACAAAGCAGAGGATTTATGGAAGCCATACCCAACCTTTGTGGCCCCAGGGATGGGTTTTCAGAAGATTATTTTTCCATAAAGGAGGTGTGAGGGACAATGCAAAGGTCAGAGATAACTGGGAGGGGGGATTCAGGATGATTCAAGCACATTACATCTATTGTGCACTTTATTTGTATTATTATTATATTAGTTTTGCTCAACCAAGATCCCTTGGAGGCACAGTTTATAGTAGGGTTCCCGCTTCTTTGAGGATGTAATGCTAGCTGACTGACAAGGCAGAGCTCAGACAGTGAAGGAGCCGGGGGAGAGGCCCGAGCACAGAAGCTTAGCAGGCTTATAGTGGTCACTCCATGCTGTGTGTGGCACCTCTCCTGACAGACCAGAGACCCGCCATGGCTCTAACTGGGGATCCCTGGTTTATGGTATGGGTCTTAAAGATTTCCCAGAAACAAGGACATTTCGGCTTAAGGAGGATGCAGCCATAAATAAGACAGCCCCTTTCTTCTGTTTCTCTATTCTCACTGTTTCTTGGTCTCTCTTTTTCTTTCCTTCTGTTTCTCTCCATCTCTGCTTCTCGCTCTCTGTCACTGCTTTCTGCAGCTCTCTGGCTATTCTCTGGCTATTCTTCCTAGGGAAGAACCAGTGGAATGACACACACACACAGATGATTCTGCCTAACACTCCTGGCTTGGAGGATTTCTGTCTGTCTCTGTCCCTGCACATCAGCTATTGCGCATCATGGATACCTGTGAACCAAACATTATCTACTCAGCTCTTATGAGAGAGAATTAATCAGAATCTTCTTAACCTAAGTCTATAACCAGAAAGTGTCTAACATTAGCTGTGATTGACACGAGACAGGAAAGGAAGACAGATACATTTGAGAAATATGCACACTTAAAACTTTGAAATTCCTTCTGGTATTTTGATTTGTTAGATTTAAACCATTTAAACTTGAGGAACAATGTCTTTATAAAAAAAATTTGGCATTAGTTTGTGGTAAGACAAAGTATTTTTTGTCATTGTCGCTAGAGTTGCTGAAGCATGCTTTAAATCGACTTTTAAAAAAAATTTTGAGTGAGAATAAAATTAATTGGTACCAAGCTGGTAAATAAAATAACAAAAGAGTTAAACTGCTGCTCAATCTTTTCTAACTAGCAAAGGTCCTCTTACCTTTATGCATTTCAAGAGTAATTTTATCCTTTTTTTTTTTTTGGTCTTTTGAGACAGGGTCTTGCTAAGCAGTTCAGGCTGGCCTTGAGCTCACTTTGTAGCCCAGGCCGGTCTCAAACTCACAACAATCCTCCTGCCTCAGCTTCCCAAGTGCTGGAATTACAGGCGTGCGCCACCACGCCTGGCAAGTAATTTTAATTAAGTGTATTTGACTCTGTTCTGAAAGTGTACCAACCTCTTGCATGTTTTGTCTTCAGTTCTATAGGTGGTACCACCTGTTCCATGCTGTAAGTCGAAGGAGCACAGAATCAGTGTACTACACTATGAACACAAAAAACAATTGCGCATGGGAGCTTATGTAAGACAGTGACACGAACAGTTTTTCCAAATGATCATATTTGTGATCAAAGGAAGAATGAAACCCAGTCCAATAGCAGCAAAGCTTTTATGTGGCTTCTCTTTTCTCAGGAGCGCAGAAAGGTCAGAGCACTTCCTTGAGACACCCTTGGGATTTGGACTCTTCCATGGGGAGTCAAGTAGCCGTGATCCAGGATCATTAATTTTTTTTTTTAATCTTTGAATTTTCCTTTTGCTTCTCTCTTCAGTTTTCAGCTTTTCTCCTTCTCTCTTCTGGCTCATCTTTATCATCTTAGTCAGTGGCAACTACAGCTATCATTTAAGACAATAATTATAATAATAAAGGCAATTGTTGACATTTATTATTCATCAGGCTCCATGCACTAGTCTGAACACTTTGCATATATTAGTTTATTTAATGGTGGCAATAATTTTATGACTAAGATACAATAACAATTCCTATTTTTCAGAAATGGAAACTGATTCAGAGATAGCTTGCCCATAAAATAAAATACTACAGAAATAGTAGAATCAGAAATTTTATTTTTCTCTAAAATTTGTCTAGTTCAATTCTGTGAACTGGAAAGAAATATTCCCACTAATGTGTCCTATGTAGTGCGGGGGGTGGGATGATAAAAAGAGGCAAACTAAGAGAAACTCAGACCTGGAACTTGAAGAGTTAACAGCATTTGCATAACCAAACAATCCCCCAAACAGAACAGAGAGTGATCTCTTCCCTACTAATGACAAAAATCTTCAAGAAAAAGCAGAAGATTTTGGGTAATGAGATAACATTTGAGTTGGGTGTTGAATGATGACAAAGAATAATTTTAAATTTTTATGAATAATGATGAATAATGAAGTTAGAAACGAACATGTATTGAGCTACACAGTGACAACTATGTTCAGCAACATGTAAGAGCTTTATGTGAATTACTTAATCCTTACCCAAACCCGTTCAGATATATTCCATTATTACCTCCATGTTACAGATGAGACAACAGAGACTCCAAGAGGTTGAAAAACATTGCCCAAGTTATTACACTGATATAATATGCCAGAATTCACTCCCAGGCAATCTTGGCTCTAGAGCCCATACTTTGAACCCAGAAGCAATGTAATGGCACTTATCAATGCCATTTCATTTCCTCTCCATCCCCTCCACCTCTTATTGAAGAGATTTGTGCTAATCTAGTTTTCAGTGTTTTTTCCCTTTATACCAAACTGACTTGGACTTGCATAATGCTCCTTTTATTCTCAAAGTGGTCTTATAGGTGGTTTTAATTAGTTCTTAGGTAGGGGGGTCAATTCTGGGATTATAATGCAAACCACAATTCAAGGTGTTTGTCCAAAACCCTGGATCAGATGCGTTTCATCTGCTTCCTGGATAGTGGATGTTTGAAGAGCTGTGTTACAGGTATTCTAAGGCTCCATGCAGGGAAGGAGGTAAGGTCAATCACGATGTCTTGGTTAATTTTCTCCCATTGCTGGGACAAAATACCTGACACCCAAAATTAAGAAAGGAAAGGTTTATTTAGCTCACAGTTTGTGGAGGTTTCAGTCCATACTCTGCTGGCCCCAAGGCAGCGTGGCACATGGTACAGGGCAACAGGTTATGGTGGCAGAAAACAGCAAAAGCAACAAGAGCAAAAAGGGGGGCAAGCCTCTTTCCCGCCCTTATATTGTATGCAAACGACATGCCCCAGGACAGGTGTAGCACTCTTACCTGTAATCCCAGTACTGGGCCATGAATCAATTAGAAACTCTAGCAGCCCACTCCATGACTGCATGAGGCTTTACAGGGACATTCAGACACAAACCATGACACAAGGATATATGCTGGGAGCTCTATAACATTATAGAGTGGGCAAGGAAAGGTGGTAGGACAAAGGAAATGTGTATTCTTTGCAGAATAAAGATTTTGGCCTGAAGTCTTTTCAACCCTAACCCAAGAAGATGTCCTGCAGGGTGATGAGAAGTCAGCAGAGAAAGTCTCTGAGGGATGGACCAGTAGAAAACCAAGAAGAAGAGAATACTCTAAGAGTGGCAGTAGAGGGTTCCAGTAAGAGAACCCTCAGAGAATTCTCAAAACGAAATGAGAAAAAGAATAGTTTTAAACACCTCCCAGACCTACAAGCGATCCAACCAATTTCTGAGTTTTGGTTTAAAGCATATACATAGACAAAAAGCCTTGGAACAGTATTGTGGGATTCAACAAGAGTGACCAAACCAAAACCCAGAAAATGGACTCACTACACTGAGAAGTTATTTTCCATGCTCTTGGGGACAGGGTTGTGAAATCCTAACAATGGGTGATTCAGAGTGCTGATTATAAGACTATAGAACTCATGAGGATTATTTTGCTACTGGCTTATTCTATGGAATTGTTTTAACTCTGCAGTCTTCGATCTCATTTTTAAGGAGCTCATAAGACTTCATTTCCTGGCAACTAGAAAGTGCCTGAGAAATTTCCCATTTCAATAGACACTATCTAACACCTTTTGTTTAAGAAACAAAAACTATCACCAAGACAGAGAACAAGATCTTATTTTTTCTTTTAACATATCTGTTGACTCCTGTGACACTAAATTTTGACAAATAGTGCTGGAATAACAGTTGAAAACATGGGGCAGAGAGAGAGAAAATATACCTGATTTTATCCAGATGCAGGTTATTAAAGGTTTTTAAGAAAGTAATTGCCCCAGCCAGGTTTCTAGAGAAAATTGTGTATCATAATTACCATTATTCCTAGATATATATAATTCTGGTTTAATTATCACATATATTTTGTGCTTATTCTGTGAAATCAATGTGTTAAGCAAGGACTAATGAATGAAAATTTAGAGTCTATAAAAAGAAGCAGGGAAGTATTCCAGAGGAAATAAAAACGGGTTGAAATGAGGTCAAAGAAAATGAATTCAGAATGTGAATATACTCCATAAGCAGAACTAGTGATTACAGAAGTGTCTCTGGGTGAGGCCAAGTTGGATAAAATCCAGACACTGAAATATTAGTGATTGTCATTCTTGCTTCTGTCCTGCAAAGCAAGTGACACTCCAGGCACGTGACTATGTGTGACTTTATACAGCCTGGGGAAAATTAATTTTTCTCTTTCTTCCCCTTAGAGATCTTTAACTTTTCTTACATAATAATTAGACATGGGTTCTCTTCTTAAAGATACACATTTGTTGGAATTTTGGTTATATACTAAAGAGAAGAAAAATATTATAGGTTTAGTTTTTCTTTTTTCCTTTATTTGACTCCAGTGCTTTCTTTCTTACTTACTTTTTTTTTTTTTTTTTTGGTGTGTTTATGTCTAGTGTTGGGGAATATACCCAAGACCTCACATTGAGTTACATTCCTGAGTCTTTAAAGAAAAATCACTTTAGAGACAGGATCTCACTAAATTTCCTAGGCTGGGCTTGAACTTGCAATCCTCTGGACTCAGCCTCTCAAAGTGTTGAGGGTATTACAAGCATGTACCACCAATACCCAGCTTTCCAATGTCTTTTTTTTTCCAAAGTCTTCTAAAGTCCTCTACATCCATGCATTTTACTCACCTACCACTTTAGAGATTAATGCTAGAAATGTAAGAAATAAACAGAAAATAAGGCCCAAGAATTTATATATATATATCTATACCTAGGTATATCTATATAGATGCATATTTGCATATGTAAATATGTCCCTCAAAGTAGAAACTGGAGGTTATTGTATAGAAGCAATAGTAAGCTAGAAACAGAATCAATAGTTGTAGAAAACTAGAAACTAGAGGTTATTGTATAGAAGCAATAGTAAGCTAGAAACAGAATCATAATAGTTGTAATATATTAAATTCAATGTATATGAAAACCTGATGTATAATTAATTGATGGGCATAATAATCATTGTACATGTGGCATCTTCATCTGGTCTCTTCCTTGCAGGTCTTCACTAGAATATCACTATCCTACCTTTCCTAAACCTGACTTACAGTTAGGCCCCTCCTGTGATTCTGTTACTATCCTTTCTAGAGTTCTTCTCCATTATGTAAATGTCTGGTGTGTTTCCTCATTGTCTACTTTCCACAGAATCTATACTCTCCCCTAGGGCAGGTTATTTCACTTGCCATAGTGATTGTTTTATAATGCGTGAAACATGCATAAGCAGCTTTCCATGACACTGAGCATTAATATTACTTATACTGACACACCAAGTTTTAAATGTAGTTGGTATGTGTCCAGAATGGCATTATTGTCAATAGTGTTTCTTGACACCATAAACAGGAATCATTTGTCACCTAAATATACACTGTGTTCAACTGTTCTAAAAGACAGTGTGATAGATAAACCCTCTGTCAGTGCCAGAGGCCTCTGTGACTGTCCATGGTGAGCAGGACTGAGGCTCAGAGTTCTCCGCTTTCTCCCTGCTTCTCTATCCCTTCTTCATTCTAGTGAGGGGCTAAGGAAAGGCTGATGAGAATGAACAAAACCTTTGTGCATAGAACAGCATTGCTAAGTCCTTTCCTTTTCTTTCTCGGGGACATTTGTGTTGGCTTTTTTTTCTTTCTTTGTTAAAGTGCTGTACAAAGCCTGCACCCATTAGTGGACAGTTCCTCTTCCTAGAAGCTGAATCGTGAATTGTGCATCTCTAGAGAAGTGGCTTAGGGTAATGGAAGAGTGCAGGGACTGTTAAGTCGAACTGTCTGAGTTTGAATCCCACCTGTGCTACTTACCAGCTGTTTATCTATGTTTGGTCATTTGATCTCTCTGACTTCATCTATAAAATAAGATAAATTAGGTGTTTATAATACCTGCTTCTTAGGTATGTAGTGAAGAAGAGTGACTTAACATTTGTAAGGTTCCTACATCAATATATGTATATGAATGAAGTAAGCCTAAGCTATGCAGCCACACACAGTGGCTATGAAATAAAATTAACAAAGTTCCTCAACTGACTTTTTCTCCTGGTAGATGGGCTTGCCAGTTTCAAAAGTTTCCTGAAGTCTGAATTCAGTGAAGAAAATCTTGAGTTCTGGATTGCCTGTGAGGACTACAAGAAGATCAAGTCCCCTGCCAAGATGGCTGAGAAAGCAAAGGAAATTTATGAAGAATTCATCCAAACTGAGGCTCCTAAAGAGGTTGGACCTGAGGGGCAGAGGGTGAGGGTGGTCAGTTAAGGATCAGACAAAACAAATTATTGGGAAGGAGTTAGACCTAAGATACAGGGTCAGCCTTTGGAGTTAATAATGCTACTTCTGTTTGTGAGCAGGCCACTAATTAGGCACCTCCTGAGTTCTAAGGCAGAGCAATGTGATCAAGCAGATAGGACTTGTCCTGTGTAGTGCTTTGTGGGCTTCTGGGTCTTTCTTCGGTAGCACGTGACCTCAAGAGGAAATGGTAGTAGTGTACAGTCTTGAGGGAATCTCTGAGTTTTTCTCAATCTAGATTCTTCCTTTGTGCAAATAAGAATAATAGAGACAATTTTGTATAGTTGTTGTGAGGATTAAGTTAAATAACCAGTATGTGTGGAAACATTTATCTCATTGTCTGAACTAATCAATACCTAATGAATATCCCTACCAATTGTCTTTGCTTTTCTTCCTTTTCCATTTCTTTCATTCAATCTCTTCCTATCCCTGACTCTGTGTTCTCCTCCTCCTTTGTTTTGCCACACCTGGCCTTTGGTGTTTACACTCTAGTTGGAACAACAGGACTTCCACCCACAAAAGCCAAAATAGCACAAGAGCACTGTGCTAGAAATGTTTAAAACCAAAGTACCACAAATTTACTACGAAAGACCATATAACCTATGTTGATCTCAAAGAAGTTCTGGGAGATATTTGTCCACTCTTTTCTCCGCAACCAATGAAACCAAACTGAAAAGCCGGTTAGGGAATCCAGGGTGGTCACAGTAAGACTTGTTGATCCCATGCTGGTAAGGTCACGGAAATTCCACATTGCTCTTTTCATCTAGTTGGGAAATTCAGTGTATCAAAATGTGTGGAGTCAAGCACAGAGGTGACTGAATAAACTCCTTGTGTAGGCAAAAATCTATCTGAGGTGACACGAAGCAGGAAAATCTCTAACATTCCTTTTCTCCCACGTGTGCTCAATTCCTATAGTGCCAACATTACATATTTAGTCCTTTGTTTGTGTTTTATCCCTCACTGGCCCTTTTTAATAGGTGAATATGTTTGAGTAGATGGGTTAATTATATAACAGTACCAACAGATGTGCTCCCAACAAGAGCGTGAAAGTGTAAAGTACATGGGTCAAAGCTGAGAAAATGAAAACATCCTGGGAGGGAACTAGATTTTGTTCTCTCCAGAACTCCCCTTCTGCTCAGCCTCCTACTCCAAGGACATGTGCTAGCTTTCTGCTATTTTTGATAGCATTTGTGTTGGGTCGTCTTTTGTTCTGTCAGTATGGAGTTTATGTACATTAGGAAGAGATTAATTCACAAAGGGAGTACACTTAGTTTTAAATTAGGCATACATATCCTCATTCAAACTGGATTCCTAATTTGCAACCTTCAAGCTTTCTACCATCTTCATTCCCCTTTACAGAGTTCTAGGATTTGTCAAAATACCTGAAAATGGAGGAGCTCTATCTAGACTATCACTAGTTGCTCTGAGCTCTAGGGAAACATTGTTCTCAAAGTTTCTTAGTAGAACATGATTGGTTATCAAAATGTGAGACATTAAAAATAGAATTTCAAAATAAGTAAAATCCTGACTGGTTGATCTACTAGAACAAATAAATAATGGTCACCTATTACATTCCTCTAATTAAATCAACTTGACCTCTATTATAAATAATGAATGCCCATGTAGGGGCATATCATAAGCATTTGGTAAATATTTGTCAGATTAATGGATACAAATATGCAAATTCAGACCTTCCTATATATGTGACTTTGGGTAAGTCTCTAAATCCTCCATTTTTGCTAATCCTAATCCTCAGTTCTCTTATTGGCAAGCATTTCACATTTCACATATGCTTTGAGTATATTTAATAATTTATAGTTATCAGTACTTAAAAATTATGAAAATCTTGTTCTTGATTTAAATATTTACTCTTTTTTGTTTGTTTTACTATACTGAGGACTAAATTCAGGGCCTTCCTTCACCCCGAGCTATGTTCCCATCCCTTCTTTCATTTTTTTATTTTTGAGACAGGTTCTGACCAAGTGGTTAAATTCCCCAGGCTGGGTTTGGATTTGTGATCCTGCCTTCTCCACTTCCCAGAGTCCTGGAATTACAGATGTGTCCCAACAGGCCTGGCTTGCTATTTCATTTTGCTAAGATTGGCCTATATAACAAATTTACTCAGACCGATAGTAACTTAAGTTTTCTTTCTCTATTAACCCCAGCTCTTCAATACGAAGAACTGAGAGATACAGTGGCAAGAATAGGAAGTAAGATTTAAAAAGAGAAGTGGCTGTGTGCATCTCCATAAGTAGATAATTTGTACATTCCAAATTATCATTTGACCATATTTAAGTTAGTGAGATAATATTTTCTTAACTCAGTAAACAGTGAATATGTATCAGAATGACTGGTTAGAGAAGGTATATGTACATAAAAATAATTTTTAAAGTGCTATTCATTGGTGAATTCTGTCCTGGTACTCCCCAGCCATGCCTTTTTCTCACTCTAACCCGAAGCTGCTCTGTAATTATCAGTTCCTTTCAATAGAAGTCCAAGAGATAATTGAAATGTTTTCCAATGTTCTAATTCATTTTCCAATGTTGCAATTCAGGATCATTGGCTGATTTAGATTCTATTTCTTTCTCTTTTATATTCAGACCCCTTAAGAGTTATTAAAGCATACAATGTGAAGTATATATATTCCTTTCAAATTATCCTCAGCAAACTCATCTGCAAAGTTCCCAGGGAGGCATTCACAATGGCTGTAATATGAATGTTGTCCCAGAAGCTGGGTCCTCCTGTGACCCAGTTCTTGGGCATATACACAGTGAAATTGAAAAATACAATGAATGTTTACATTAAGAAAATAGTACAGTAAATTCTCTCCAATATTCTCCTTTATGTTTCAAACACACTTATGCCACCTCTCTTGTCACTATTTGAAGTAGTTCTGGAAGTGACTATCGTAAGTTGTGATAAAAAATATGGTAAGTTCTGCTCAAATGTCATCCAATATAAAGGTAGGCTTATAAAAAAAATTACAATATGTCCCCATTCACTTTATTTACTGGGTCTGGCACCATGTAACTTCTGACCCTTCCCAAAGTCAAAATGACCATGAAAGGTACAAGTGTTTTCAATGGATTCAGACCATCAAGGCAGCCACAACAGCATAAATAAAAGCACTCATGAAAGAGGACTTCCAGAACTGCTTCAGAAAGTAGAAAGCACGATGGGACAAATGTGTTTGAAATGAGCGGGAGAATAGTATGAAGGTAATTAATGGCAATGTGCCTTTTAATTTAAACATTCACTGCATCTTTCAGTCATTTCGTATGTAGTGTTTCCCTGTAAAACTGAAGAATCCTTCTTCAGGCTATTGTTAAAATGAAACAAGATGTGCCAGTGTTGGCTACTGGTGGAGGGTCTGACTTAACGGATGTCTGACTTTGGTGGGGTCTGAAACTGACTTGTGCAATTTGAAAGCATCAGTTGCCTTACCTCTTTGCCTGTAGAGTAGACACATATTTGTCACTTTTTAGGACTTTCCTCCCATCTTATATTTTATTGCTTAGAAATTCTGCCTCCTTTTGCAACCATTATCTAACCTCAGAGTCTGGGCTGACTCAGTGACTGTTTTCTGGTCCACAGGTGAATATTGATTACTTCACTAAAGACATCACAATGAAGAACCTGATGGAACCTTCCTTAAGCAGCTTTGACATGGCCCAGAAGAGAATCCATGCCCTGATGGAAAAGGATTCACTGCCTCGCTTTGTGCGCTCAGAATTTTATCAGGAGTTAGTCAAGTAAAAATACGGTGAGGCTATTAAAATCATCCTGGAAGTTACATCCTCCATAATCACGCTGCATTTTCCAGTAACCTATATATCTCCACATTGCTTTGTGCAAAAATACCCAAACTGGGAAAACTTCAAGGAGTGTCCCTTTTCATTTGCCCATACTGTTTTGGATATGGATCTTTTATTCTGTCCGGTGCCTTCCTTCTCATATCTTCTTTCTATCTCATTCCTAATTACGCTCTACCCAGCAATTCTTTCAGCCTCAATCAGAATCACAGAATTCTCCCTAAGATAAAACTACATAAGAAAAAGATATGGCATCACCAAATGTGGGTTTAGACAGACAATGATCACCACCTAAATTAGTCTAAGAAAGAATATAGATGTGAAAGACGGAATTTAAATGATCTAGTTTATTGTTCTGATTCCTGTTCAGAGAGATCATCTCCTAATTACTTCTGAATTTGGTTATAAAAAGGTGTAAGGTTTCACTTTATTTTTCAAGAAAATACATTCTTTAAAGTACTGATCTTTCCCTTAGGGCATCTTCCTGTTAACTAGGTACTATAGAGATGTGATAACTATAATGTGTTTATACAAAATCAACTTGAATACAATTCATATTAATTCATAAGTACCTCCTTCACTGGCTTCCCTACAAACTTACCAAATTCAGTTTTAAATCCATCACCTAGGGCTGGGGATTTAGCTCAGCGGCACAGCGCCTGCCTGGCAAGCACAAGGTTGTGAGTTGGGTTCCCGATACTGGAAAAAAAAAAAACTAACTAAATAAATAAATCCATCACCTAAAATCAACAGTGGACTATATATAAATGTATCTATGTCCCTATGATATAAGCCAAAAATTTTAATTTTCAAGTAATTGAAACCCATGTGAGGGTACAATTAGCTCAAAAATTTGTAACTCCAGACATATAAATTAAAACTGTTGCTATGCAGTAGTGATGTCTCACCTCAATATCAAAAGAACAGTACACTAAAAGTGGAAAATATTGTTAAATTGAAAATGGCTAATTACCTTATGATGCCATCTATTTTTTTGGAGAGATGATTTTCTTCAAAAACAAAATTATATTTAAAAAATTACCGTGATTGTATGTAGAGGCTTTCTATATGAGACAGAATTTTAAAATATCCTGAATTTTGCAAAGTATTGTGATCTTCTAGCAACCCATCTTCTCACACTGATTTGCTTCCTGCATTAGTAACTTGTAACTGTAGCCAGAAGTTCAGATTTATATTTCTGACATGCCTCCCACACAACTAATCTATAGGTCATGATACTTTTAGTAGGTTTGTGTATGTCATTATCACAAGTCTTGCTAGAATCTTTTTCTTATCTTTAATGAATTTGATTAAGTAATGACTCACATAAGTTAATAGTAAACTGAATCAGATTGAACCATGTATGAGTGTTGTAAGGGAATTGAGTGAATTTACAAGCAAGGAAGTGGTTTTTAAAAGATTAATAAATTCTGAAATGTTTAAGGAGAGGGTTACACCATTTAGTCTTGTATTTCCCAGTTTTGTTACTCTTTTACATTTGCACACTTTTAGTATGTGTGTAGCTCACTCAGTTATTACTTAGCAGTATTGTAAGTAAAGCAATTATGTTATTCTGTTTTTGGTAAACACTGACTGCATGGTGGGTTTTCTGTATTTTTTCATTTCAAAGGATAACATGTCTGAATAGTCTGACATTTCACATTCAGAAAATAGTTTGGAGCGATTAGGTCTACAACAACTGCAACTGGTATGAATTCCATTCATTCTCACCGATGTTGCTCACTTTAGAGAAACTCCTAATGAGTCAGTCCACAACTAGGTGGGGTCAATATTGTGAGCATGAAGAAATTCTTGTCCTACACATTTATATGAGACTGACAGGGAGCTCAGATCAAACATTCCAGGGTGTCCTTTGGCACTTTCTTTCTTAACATCTGTCTGCTGTTCTCAAACTCAGTTGAACAAGTGCCAGCTCTTAACTTTCTCATGCAGCTAGAAATGTTAGGAACCAAAGAATCTAGGTGAATTGTTTCTTTCTTGAATGCCAAACATTTTAAGGAAAAATGTAATTAAAAATTGTAATATTACTTTCATATTATTTGAAATAGGCAAGTGTTTTGAAGTACCAACAGAATAAACTAGATTTCAGAGGCCTTATCCTGGGGTTCCTGTTATGAAAACTTGCATTGACCTTATTCACCAACATACTGCACACTCTGTGAGAATGGCTGGACTTGTCAGTGGAGGATGAGAAAGGCCTTAACTTCACATAAGCTGACCCAGGAGGCAAAGGGCAGGAAATGTACTGTAAGGGTCATGTTGTAAAAGCTACAAAAAGATGGAAAGAAGTAATGTCCTTCAGCTAAAAGGTGACATTATTTCTGTATATCTATATATCCATCTATATCTATATAACTACATATAACTTTACATTTAAAGTGGTACTTATTATACACATGTAATTCTTCCAACATGTAGAAATAAATTAAAAGGAATATAGCGTTTCACCCCAAAATGAGAAACCAAGTGCCCTAAATTTTTTTTTTTTAAGTTTTCTTAAACCTACAAGAAAAACAGCCCAAAGCCCAGTGTAAGTAGTAGTTTTCAAGGTTACACTGAAAAAATACATTTTTCTAGCTCTGGAAAATTAGAAAAAGGGGGATGATTTTTCCAGGAAAAAATGTGTAACATCTATTTATTATTCCTTTTGCCACCTCCCATTTCTCTCTACTTTCCCTTCCCTGGGAATATAGGAAACTTAATACAAGAGCCTGTGGTACTCATATTTTCTTTCCCTGTGAAAATGGAACCAAAGTTGTAAGTGGATTTGGGAGGGAGAAAGGTGGTGGAACTGAATTGTGGTCAGCGGAAGTAGGAGAATATGGTCCTCATTCAAGAGCGAAACCAAGGGTTAACCCAGGTACTGCTCCATGACCTAAGAGTTTCTGTCTGGGCTTGACACAGCTTGGTGTTGGGTCAGACTAAGTTTAAATCAGATAAGGACCGATACATTATTAACTGTAGAGTAAATTAGGAGGCTATGTCTCACATTTGTCTGCTTGTCCAGGCAAATATTCCTCCATCCTTCACCTTCTCTTCTTCTTCCTCCTCTACATATGCGCGCATGCACACGCGCGCACGCGCACACACACACACACACACACACACACACACAGGAACACTTTTCCAGAGAAACACATTTTCTATTTTCTTTCTCCTTTTCAAAGATAGAATTGAGGCATATCTGTAACTTGGCTTTCAAATCAGTAGAGTCAAACATGAAGACATTTTGTTCCCCCCTACACAATACTCCCATGTATTACAACTCTTTATAAACTATGTTCTAAGTAAATTTCAGTGTTTAGTGCCTAAGGAGAACTTTCTGAAAAATTTGTTTTTATTTTCATTCTCTTCAAAGCCATTGATTTTACTTGGCAGATGTGTTCTCTGTGTACAATCCATTTCAATAGGATGAAAATTACATCTCCCAAAATAATCAGTATCCAGAAGTTTCAACAAAAATTTGAGCATTAACAAGTCAGTTATTAAACTAACAAACATTCCCTTCTAGGGCTTTGCCAAACTGTCACATTACAAATTCAGTGGCTTGAGAATCGCTGAAAAGGTTACTTATATTTCAGGGAAATGAGTTACTCCTAAAAGTGTTCCCTTTAACAGCCATTTTCAGTTTCCTGGGAACTGAACAGATTTGGAAGAGAGTGGGCCATGAGAGGTAGGGGAAGAAAGCAGAGAAAGAAGTGGTAAAGCAGTACCCAACCTATGAATTTCACCCACTGGCTAGAAACATTTAAGAGCAGCTCAGCTTGGTGGAAAATCAATCCACTTCTTGCTCTGTCTTCCAGATTCTCAGGGAGGCCGTTCTGGATTCAGAAAGCAGCTAGGGGAGAGATTTGATTTTACTATTGTAAGGACTCTTAACTAGAAAAAAGAATGAATATGGAGGATCTCCACTCTACTTGGGCTGTCAGTTGCCAGAAAGCAGATAGGAGAACTCAGCTTCCAACACCCAAACATCCAAACCCAAGGGCTAGGCAACTCTGTGTAGGTTTGGACATGAAGTCTTGGTGTCTCTCAGTGTGTCTTGCTCAAATAGCTATTAGAGCCCTCTAATTCTCTGTCTTTTCATTGTATTAGAAGCATGAATTTAACATTTGTTCAATGTAAGTTTCTGTAGTTAACAATTTAGCAGCTGCCTCTTGTATAAAACGTACTTTTCACCAGACAGATTGTGTGGCAAACCAGAGCAGGCAATATTTCAAGAAAGGCTTTCCCCAGCACCAGTTAACCATCCTGGAACTGGAAAGGTCAACTCCCCCACTGAGGGGAAATCTGTAACTTTGAATGGAAACTCATAGCAGAGAGTGACAAGCAAAATATACAAATAAATCTTTGTAGTATTATCCTCAACTCAGAGTTTAATAATAATTGTCCTGTTTTAGTAGAGAATGTAGAAAACAACCTTATTCATACCCAGTTTAATAACTGTCTTATAAGTCATTTATTCTCTCACTTGAAATATTTTTCCTTCCCATCTCACCCCATACTTTCCTTTCTCTTTTCCTTCTGTGAGAAGAAATATTTAAAACAGATCTAACCACACTTAATATAATAATAAATACATTAAAGCATTTAACTTCCTATCTAGGAAAGCACAGACAAAACCAATGAGAAATGTACTATTGGAGAAAATCAATCTGGATAATGTTTGATTTGGAGAAACCAAAGCTTCTTTTTTTTTAATGTGGCAACTCAAATATCATTTTCAGAACACACTGCCAAGAGAATTGAGTAGAAATGGAAGGTTTATTAAAACATTTTTTTCAGCATTTTTCCCATAAATTTTTAATTCTTGAACAATTGTGTTTATCTTCTGATTTTTTTGTATCCAAACCTCATGTACTACATATGTAACCCACATTTTTTAATAAATTAAGCACCAAATATGTATCTGTAACCATAATCACATATATCATATTAAATATATATCTATGTAATAGCCTCCTGTGAGTCCTTCTTAAGTCTCAAGCATTCTTTCATGAAACATCTCTCCTCAAGAAAGGCTTGTTTCTTTATCATGCTTTTGCTATCAACTGGATGGAACCCCTGATATAAAAAAAAACCCTGATCAGTTGAGAGGAGGCATACTTATAAGAGTCAACTATAATATTGCCTGACATGCAAAACTCAGAAAAGAACAGACAAAGTAACTCATTTTCATATACTATGGTGATTACTTTCCCTGGGGTCATATTTATTAGTCTAGCTGCCATTATCATTAGGAACAGACTGAACATATATTATTTGAACCCTGCAATATTTAATGAGTATAGTAATTCATTTCCTTTCCCGACATGGTAGAAGATCTGAAGTCCAGGTACCATTGCAGGCAATTCAATTCTGTGACCTTAAATTTAATACAGAACGAGGCTAATTTAGGTCATGTGTTAAGGTCATACAACTGGTGAGATTGCAACTGGGCAAAAAAGGACAGCTCGTGTGTAGAAAAATAAAAAGCATAGGTAGGATCAGATTTACAGGCAGAAGCATTGAGAGAGATAGAGAGACTGAGATTGAAGACAATGTCAGTCCTCCAGTCTTGGTCTCTGACAAGTTTCTAGCCCTCATGGGGCCTAGCTATATTTAACGTGGATGCAGTGCCCCTGAATCATTTCCATCCTATATACGCTCCTCTGCATTTTAATCATCTTGGATGAGTTTCTGAGTTTCCACCAAGAAATATTATTAGAACAAAGATCACTGACACTTCTCTGTCTCCCCTCTGAACAAGTAGCCTTCCCAAGGTCATTGTGGAAATCAGTGACATGAGATTTAACGTGACTGACTAGAGAAGGAACTCAGAAAAGATACGTTCTGAAAGAAGGTATTCTAAAGGTGAGAGGGGCTTGCACACTGAAAGAGAAAATAATATATGTAGATCAGATCAAATGGACAACTGAAAAAGGAAGTGGTGCTGCCTCTGCAGGTTGACCTGCTCCTAATTCCTGCTCCTCTGGGGAAGTCATTGTAGTGAGGCAGATGTCTGAGGGACCAATCTAGCACTGCAGAAACTAGATTCCTGGAACAGACTGCATTCACTGCCCCTCCCCCTAACACACAGACACACACAGACAGCCCCACTCCCAAACACTGGGCAGAACTGCCCTCCTGTCTCCTCTGCTCCAGTGCATTCTGTAGGACAAACTTGCCTGCCATGTTGCCAACCAGTTCACTGGCATGTCTGCACGCAGCCTCCCCTTCTCCTCTAAATAGCCTATTGTCCAGAGTACCCACCAAGTCACAGGCAAGTGCGCACAAACCGGCTGGCAGCAGCTCTGTAGGTCTGCAGGTCAGCCAGATTGTAGACAACATGTCTCAATAGCCTAGCACGGGTGCTGCATGTTCAGTGGACTCTGAGGTCACAGGTGCCAGCCCAGACCACAGGCTGAGTCGGTTCTGCTCCTGCCTTGCCTGCAGCACTCCACCGCAGTCACTGGAATGTACATCCATCTGTGAAGAACACTGGTGATCAGTGTTCAGATGCAAGTAAGACAAGAAGGGAACTGTGTACTCTCATGGACACTTTGGCGTAGTGTCCAGTGCTCATCAAGAACTAGGGAATCACACCTGCACCCTGGGCAGAGTGGCAGGGACTGGACTCCAGCAGGCAGGCACACACCCCCCAAGGAGTCTGCAAACTCCTGAGAGTGAAAAAACTCATTGGTTCCATGCCAGTCACTGCCATCTCCTGCAGGATCCCCAGGCACAGTGTGAAAGCAATTACAGACCTCTGAGGAGGCCTCCTGGAAAGTGTGTGTGAGTCCACCTGCGACAGCAGTCCTGCACTTGCCTGTGAGCCTGCCTGGCTGCTGATTCCATATATTACCCGGAGAGGGGGACGGAGAAAGTTCCTAACCCAGAACTGGGTCAGTGTCAGATGGCCCGCATGCCTGCAAGCTGCAAGATGAAGTCCAGAGACTGGGACTGCTTCAATTTTGCAGTCAGGTCAGAGGTGATATTGGTGTGGCTGCCTGAAATCATGCCATAATCAATGCAAGAAGGGAATGGCATGTACTTCCAGCTTTTTGGTAGGGAAGTTGTGTATGAATCACACATACGTTCTCTTGTTGGAGTATTTAAACTGAGTTCCTGTCAAATATATTCTAGGCTCGGTTTTGGTTTTATTTTATTTCTCAAATTTTTTAAATTTCTTTTTGCTTTATTTTTCTTCCATTTACTTTGATTTAGTTGGTGTCTAGGTTTTCTACTTCTCGGTTCCTTCTATAGTTTCTTCACTTAAGCTCCCAAAGCAAAACTATTCCATCTTAGTTCTTTCTCCCAGTGTATAAACTCCTCCTATGTCAACTTGCCAGATTCTGCTCTCCCTGTCAGTCTTCCTCCATGTTTCTCATCCTATTTCTCTGACTGTTTCAGATCTTGTTCAGCCCCTCCCACATCTCTTTTCCACATGACCAGTACACAAACTCATCAACAGGTTCTGATAGCCACATTGCCTTCCTCACTCACAGAGTAGCCTTCCTCCTCCTATGTCTCATCCTCATCCCCACACATATCTTCCTAAAACCCTCAACACTAACCCTTCACTCCAGCTAGAAGTACTCCAACAGAATATAACCCCTTATCAAATATTTTTTCACCTGTCACCATCGCTGCTACCAACCTCCCCCTTTACTGATTTACGCTCCTCTTTCACTCACACCTCAACCTCTTTCCTCTGCCTTTCCTGGCACATCATAGAACAACTGCTAATAATAATTGAACATAGTCTACTAAGAGTATTGATAATTGGAGAAAGTGTAAATGTAAGGTCTAGCTTGAAGTAATTTTACAAAACATAGGGGCAGGGTCCAAATTTCTTACATTAAATAACTGAAGGGGTAAATACTATCTATGGACATATAAAGCTGAAAACACTTCTTTGGGAGGCAAACTCTTACTAACATAAATCTTTGCACAAATTATAAGCTCTTCCCATCCTATTAGACCTTAACCCACAATACCGATAAAAATGAAAACAACAGGAGTGGAAATAATAAAAAACCAGATATACATGTACACAGGACCATGGGGAAACAAGGCAAAGTAAGACCCTCCAGGTCTTCAGACTCTCCTAAGCCAAATCAAGGGGAAACAGCACACAAATAGAGAAGAAAGCAAGTACCAGGTAGCAGAGCTCTACAAAAGTTTAAAGAAGACATGAAGACACTTGGTCAGTTCAAAGAGGACATGACCCAAAAGTTTATGGAGCTATAGTTCAAAATGTCTAATATGGATATGGAAGAAGCAAATAAAGACGAGGAGTCGGCAAAAACTATTCAAAACATGAGTGATAAATTCACTAGAGATATAGAACCCATGAAAAGATATCAGATGGAAATACCAGAAATAAAATTCATAAGTTGTGGAAATGACCAATGTGAAGACAGAGTGTTTGAAATTGAGGAAAATGATAAACTGTGATAAAGTACTCAGCCACACACATACACACACACACACACACACACACACACACACACACAGAAAAGAGCAAAAGGAATCATCCAACAGGTACTAGAAGACAGAGCTGCTTGGATAGTTCAACATATGCATATCAATAAATGTAGTACACCTCATAAACAGAAGCAAAGACAAAAATGACAATCATATCAATAGATGCAGAAAAGGCCTTTGATAAAATAAAACACTCCTTAATGATAAGAACCTTAAAGAGAATAGCTATAGAAGGATGACACCTGAATTTGATAAAAGCTATTTATGACAAATCAATAGTCAATGTCATATTAAATGGGGGAAAACTGTAAAAAATTCCCTCTAGGCAATCACTATCATCACCACTTTTATTATGCATATTACTCAGAACATTAGCCAGAGCAATCAGGCAAGAGAAAAAAATAAAAGGGATGCATATGGGAAAGAAAGAAGTCAAATTATTATGATTTGCAAATAACATTGTCCTCCACGTAGAGGGCCCGGTGAACCTCACCAAGAAACTCTTAGAATTGATAGTTAACTTTAACAATGTATCAGGATTCAAAATCAATACACAAAAACAATAGTATTTGTGTTTACTGATAATGAACTCAGAGAGAAAGTAATTATGAAAACAATACCAGTCACAATAGAATCAAGAAGAAGTAAACACCTAGGAATTAGCCTAATCAAAGAAATGAAAGACCTCCACAAAGAAAACTACCTCACTCTGTAAAAGAAGATTGATGAGGACATCAGAATATGCCAAGATAGGCAGAACCAGTATTGCCAAAATAGCCATACTTTCAAACCTGTTACACAGATTCAACAAAATCCTAATTAAAATATCAAAATTCTTCACAGATCCAGAGGAAACAGTCCTAAAATACATATGGAATCAAAAGAAATCAAGAATAGCATAAATAATCTTGGGCAAAACAGAAAGTGTTACAATACGTAACTTTAAGCTATACTATAAAGCAACAGTGATAAAAATGGCATGGTTCTGGGACAAAAACAGACGTGTATCAGTGGAACAGAAAAGATGCATAAGCATCCCCATATACATTCAGTTATTGGATCTTTGACAAAGAGGCCAAAATATATGGTGGAGAAAAGATAACCTAGTCAATAAATGGTGCTGGGAAAGCTAGATAGCTGTTTGTAGAAGATTGAAGATGGACCTGTCACCATGTACTAAATAAAATTCAAAATGGATCAAAGATCTAAACATTAAAACAGAAGCATTGAACCTACTGGAAGATAAAATAGGTAAAACACTTGAAGTCACAGGTGAAGGAAAGGATTTTCTAAATAGTACTTCAATTGCAAAAGAAGTAAGAACAAGATTCAACAAAAGAAATTACATCAAATTGAAAGTCTTCTACACAGTAAAGGAATCAATTAGTAGAATGAAGAGACAACCTGCAGAATGAGAAAAAAGTTTTTGACAGCTGTTTATCAGACAGAGGACATAGGCCTGCCTGCAGCCATATAAACTACTAAAAAAA